AATGATTATGAATCTGAAATATAGACTACGCTGAATTTGCTGGGAAAATGGATGTTTTTTTTAATAGCAAGTATTTATTCCGTTCTTTTCTTGTTAAATTATTTGCACAAATTATCTGGTTTAATCCTAATGAATTTTATATTAGACAGGAAATAAAATTTAGAGATATTAAGTTATTTAATTTAAATCTCACAGAGAAAACATTAAAGAACTATAATCTAAACAGAAACAACATATATCTAGGATGATTATCCAGATGTTGGAGTTTTTTAAAAAAACCATATAATCATCAAACAGTTTCTAGATTAGTTGTATAGATTTTAATGTTAGACAAATTTAAGTTGAAATCCTACTTGTAAGATTTTGGATGAAGTGCTATGCTTCTTCATGTCTCAGTGTTGTATAAAATGGAAATGATAAAATCTCAGTGTGTTTAGTAAGATTACAGATAAGATACAGAGTCATATACTATCTAACAAGAGCTGACTACTCCAATAATAAAAGCAACAAAATGCAGTAATTCAGTATACTAACCTAGTATATCAAGTTGTGTTTCTCTCTTGGTCATAAGGTTTTCACAGGCCTGTTATTTCTCAAATGGATGACCAGTCCTCCTTTCTAGTCTGTCTCAATATCTGGGAGCTCCACTAAAACCTATCTAACATGGGTGACCCCTCAGCATTTGACACAACGGTGGCAAAACTTTCAGCATCACAGCAACGGACAAGTACAGCAAACTGACAGACAAGTGCTGTCCTAATTCTAGCCTACTATAAGAAAGTTCTGCTTTCCATTTCAGTGTCTCAGAAGGAACATATCCAAAAATGTTATTAAGCCAGTAATATACCTTGCCCATTGGGAATAATACTGTGAATCTTGCTAGCCATTAAGTTGATTCTCAACTCACAAGGATGCCATGTGAAAAGTAGAGCTGCCCTGTAGGATTCCAAAGCTTTAATCAGTAATTGTTAGGAATTTCATGTCATCTAGATCTGTAATAAGCACATAACACAGCAGCAGTCAAGAAATCAAGGCACATTGCACTGGGCAAATTTGCTGTCAAGGACTTCTCTAAAGTGCTAAAGAGCCATGGAGATCAATTTGAAGACCAAGAAGTGCTGGACTCGAGACTTGGCATTTTGAATTGCCTCATACTCACGTGAAGGCTGGACAAGGAATAAGAAAGACCAAAGAAGAATCAATGCCATTGAATTGTAATAATGGTAAAGATTACTGAATATTCCAGTGTTTGCCGAGAGAATAAGAGTGCCCTGGTAGAGATACAGCGAGAGTACTCCTTAGAAGCAAAGATTAGGAGAGTTTACCGCCATACTTTGAGCATGGAGTCGGGAGGGGTCAGTCCTTGAGAAAGTAGAGGGTCAGTGAAGCGAGGAAGACTCAGAATGAGATGAATTGACAGAACGACTACAGCAGTGGGCTCGGGCATGACAGAGATGGTGAGACTGGCATAGAATTGGCAAGATCTACTGTAGATTGGATGCTTTCAGTGGCCGTTGGCTCTAGGCACTAAACAGCAACAACAGCCTTTACAGGAGCAGATAGCTAAAGAGCTTTGACTTTCCAGTTTTTGATTACTGGATGTTCACTTAGCTGTTAAACTTCTAGTGCATCTTAATATGTATGGCGTATGTCGTTCCAACCCACTAGCTTCTCTGAGGGATAGAATGGGCAGTGTCCTCCTGTGATTTACTGCCTCTGAAGACCTGGTGGAGGGTCAGCTATGAGTCTCTTCTGACTCGAGGGCACACATCAATAACAGAGGTATGGCGCTCTAGTGTCCCAGTGGTAAGAAGCTGTACTACAATCCCAAAGGTATGTGGTTCAAATCTGCCAGCTGCTCCATGGAAGAAACTTGGACAATCTCCTCCTGTGCGATTTACTGCCTCTGAGAACTCGTTGGAGGGTCAGCTATGAGTTGGTTCTGATTCAGTGGCACAGAAGCACAGCAGAGATGTGGAATGTGGAAGGATCACATTCATGAAACTATACTCTGAAACATCATCATCATTATTTTTTTATTTTCATTTTTATTATTATTATTATTACTGCTGCTGTTGTTGTTGCAGGGGAACAAGAGTGAAACAAGCCCACTCACCATTAGCTTCTCCTCTCCTTTGGGTCTTTGCTCTGATGTCACCATCTCTGTAAGAACCACAGGAACCATTCTACTTAAATAAATATGCTTTCCATCATCTTCCAGTTTCTTCCCTCTATTTTCCCCATGACACACCTCATTTTTGAATACTTTGCATGATCTAATTAATTGGTAATTTTTTTTACAATGTAGTAGTATAATGTCACTTTGAAGAGGACAGGAACAGCTGCCCTTTGTTTACTGCTGTCTCACTGTACTATCATGTACATCAAACCTGATGGGAACAGAGTGAGAGCCTGCTGGTGTTTGTTGTCTGAATTCATGAATGGATGAGCTCTGAAACTGGGAAACTGGGTTAGTTAATTAGCACATGATATTTTGTTCCACTTCTATAAGGCAGGCGTACGATGTAGAAAGTATAAAAATGTCTAGAGTATGTCATTAAGTGAATAAAAAAATCCCAGTTCAAATATAGGCTTTGAAAGGAGAAACCAAGAAAAGGTAATTGGAAAGGACTATTCGAATATGAAAAGTTAGCTTAAGGCTTTTGATTTTCCATATAAAAATACATTGTGTTATATTTTTGATATAGCAAGATAAATAGAAAGGAAAGTTGGATAGAGAAAACAATGGGAGAAAATTACTACCATAGTGAAAGGGAGCTCTGATGACTTGTTTTTCTTGTTGTTATGTGCTGCTGAGTCACCTGTGACTCATAGTGACCCTGTGTACAGCAGCTCTGAAGCCTGTCCTGTCCTGAGCCAGTCTCACTGACTCTGACACACCTACCACAATTGCCCCAGTTGCTGTGCCAATTCATCTCATCCAGGGCCTTCCTCTCCTGTGCTGTCCCTCCACCCTTCTAAGCATAATGTCCTTCTTCAAGGATGAGTCCCTCCTGGCCACACACCCACGTGTATATGAGCTGGAACCTCAAAATCCTAGCCTCCAAGGAGGAACTTATTTCATGCTCTCCAAGATGGACCTATCTGTTTTCTTGGTGGTCATGGTATGTTCTGGTGGCTTAGCGGTAATGAATTGTGCTACCAACTCAAAGGTATGCGATTCAAATCCACCAGTTGGAGGATCCACTAAGGGTTGTTTCTAACTCAAAGGTCCACAACAACATCATGTCAGAACTAAATTCATGTTGTAGGGGTACTGGTAGCCCAAGCCCTTGGCCAAATTCCTAGAATCTTTGCCTAAAATGAATATAGGGCCATTGAACTAGGTGCTCTGTGCTCGTTTCTGTCTTGTTGCTGCTCTTCTTTTTGAAATCTTCTTCTCTCTTGGACTCACTCCTACTGCCCTCCCACCCCTCTCTCCATCCTGGTCCTACTTGTGGTTTTACCTTCAGGTTCTGACCTATGTGCAGCTACTTTATTCTGAACAAATAAAGCCGTAGGACTGAGAGAATTCAGGACCCAGGAACCCATAATGGATGCAAAGCCCAAGAAATACAGTCATGGGAGTGTGAGAATGGGCAGCCCCTGCTCCCCAGCCTCTGCCAGCCTTGTCCATGTGTTTTGAGCCCCGTGTTTCCCACCAACTTCTCTCCGCTGCCACCTGGGCCCTTCTCTTCTTCACTTTCCCTTCAGTGTAGCAGTTCCACACCTTGAATGCTTTCTTCCAAAGAAAGTATGTCTTGTCTTTCCCCCGCTTAGCTGCGAGGACACTCACAGGCATTTGTTCCTTGCGCTGTAGTATGTTTGTTACTTCTATCTCCACCAATACTAAATGAAAATATCACCTGAAAGTCCTAGTATTTTCCATTTAAGTCATAGAATCAAATACTTGTCGAACTAAAAGGGATCTTAAAAGTTATTCATTGAAATCCTCCTTATGATTTGTGCTAGTTTTGTAGTAGGTGTTTGGAAAATATTTGCCATCAAGAAACAGACTGGCGGCATGGTCTGCAGTCAATTGAGCTGCTAATCCAATGACTTTGGTAGTTCAAATCCACCAGCAGCTCTGAAGGAGAAATGTCAGTGTTGCCCATTGAGATTCACAGCCTGAGGAACCTGCTGGGAGGCAACATGAGTTGGAACTGATTGATGGTGATGAGATAGAAGGAGAAGGGGAG